GACTTTAAAAGGTTAAAAGGGTTATTCACTAAGCCGTGTGAGTGAATAACCGAGCCAAAGTGAAGGGAGCCGAACGCCGTTCCACTATTCACTTCAGCTGAGTATGGCTGATTTCAGCTGTACGTTGGCTGGCTTCGGGTCTCTTCGGTTCAGCCTGTTCAACTGCTGGGTTCAGAACCCGTTCAACTCACCCGATCCAACATCTGGATCGGCTGAGCCGAATGCCTGGCAGTTCACTCGCTGCTGTTCGCCCCTATTCTCATAGGGGCCGAACAGCAGTGGGGGATTACCAGAATGATGCTGAGCGGCATTCGAGTTGGTTATTCGGCTCACTACCTGGGACGTAGCTAGCAGAAGAAAAAAAAATGTAAACAAAAAAGAAAATGGCATGGGGTCCCCCTTCCCATTCATACCAGACGATTTAAGTCTGGTAGGAAAGTTAGGAGGGACCCCAAGTTAAAAAGTAAAAAAAAAAGTGCATGGGGTTCCCACCAGAAGTCATCCCAGGCCCTTTAGGCCTGGTAGGGATTTTAACATGGGGGTCCCTCCTAATATTCCTACCAGACCTAAAGAGTCTTTGGGGGGGAACCTCATGCTTTTTTTTTTTCTTCTGCGGACTGAGCCAAAATAAAAAAAAATTATTTTGTCTAATGTCACTTTGCTGCAATGAAAATTAGTTCTTAATAAAAATTCGTACATACTACTGCTAACGAAATTGAGGAAAATTCTGATTTTGTCAGAATCCCAAAACAAATTGACTTTGGGACCCGAATACCGAAAAACTAAATAACCAAAAATCTGAAGGAAATAAAAATGTTGCCGGCGCACATGTCTAGTGCTTTATATAACCTGCCTTTCTACATTAAAGTCATACATGCTAATACACAGGGAAGAGGTATAACCTTACAATGGCTTTGCTTGGAATAGTCAATACCATTCATTTTGGAAAAAGATACATTGCACGGTGGCACTTGTTAAATCACAAGCCCAAATTTGACAATGCACTGATTTCTCCTGTGCTTTATGTGCTAGACAACTGTTTTCATTGCGGAATCAACATCCATAGGTGTAAAAAAAACCTTTTATTTGTATTGTCACACATCCATGAACATGATGAATACACATTTGTGATGTACAATATTTCATCCTACATCCAAGGACATTTTCAGGAGTACTGCGGACAGAGCCCAGATCCCTCCAATTCAGTCCTAGAGAGCACAGTAGCTGCATGCATAGCCCTAGAGAGCCTGGCACCCGCCCACAGAGCCCTGGTGAGACCTGCATGGTATCCTTGGTGAGACTTGCACGCATCCCTGCTGAGATCTGCATGCAGCCCTGCTGAGACCCAAATGAAGCCCTGGGAAGACCCAAAACGCAGCTTGGGGAGACCCAAAACGCAGTCCTGGTGATATCTACATGCAGCACTGGAGAGCCTGGCACCCACTTGCAGAGCCCTGGAGAGGCCGGCACCCACCCGCAGAGCCCTAGTGAGATCTGCATGCATCCCTGGTGAGACCCAAACACAGCCCTGATGAGACCCAAACGCATCCCTGGTGAGACCCAAACACAGCCCTGATGAGACCCAAACACAGCCCTGATGAGACCCAAACACAGCCCTGATGAGACCCAAACACAGCCCTGGTGAGACCCAAACACAGCCCTGGTGAGACCCAAACACAGCCCTGGTGAGACCCAAACACAGCCCTGGTGAGACCCAAACACAGCCCTGGTGAGACCCAAACACAGCCCTGGTGAGACCTGCACGCAGTCCTGGTGAGACCCAAATGCAGCCCTGGTGCGATCTGCACACACCCCTGTATAATCATGGATTGATGGGATCTCTATAGGTGGTTGTCATTCTCTATTGCTGTATAATCAATGATTATAAAGCAAAAGAGAATGGTAAATGGCTATAGAAGACTACAAATCTCAGCAATCCACGATTGCTGGTTGCCATTCTCCATTGCTGAAAAATGATGCATTGCTGAGATTTTTAGTTCTCTATAGCCGGTTGCCATTCTCTATTGCTGTATAATCATAGATTAATGAGATCTGAGCCCACTATTGCTGGTTGCCATTCTCCATTGCTGAAAATTCATGGATCGGGTTACAGTTCTTCATATTTCAAAAGAAACAGCCCTAAAATCATTAGTCTGTATTGTTTTAGAAAAAATTTCACATTTCCCTTTAAGAAAATGTATCGGTAATTGGTATCGGCAAGTACCAAAGTAGTTGTACTTGGTCTTGAAAAAATGGTATCAGGACATCCCTTACCATCTAGGTATAATATTTAGAAGTAGATCATATGTAATATATACTTTATATGCAGATGGTACTTACAGACACCCAGGGGTGGGAGAGGATCTGCTCTGCTGTGCACCTGTCTTCCACATTTACTTGAAGCATACAGCTAATCAGCTCCTGATATGAAATATAGTAAATACAGTCATTTCACATGCAGTGTCATTTCAGTACACTATATGAGGCAGTAGATACCTTTTATTAAAACATGAGACACTTCATCAGCTTTGAAAATATACCACATAATTGTAATGATAAAAATCCATAATAATTGTAAATACAGGTCTGCCATCCCTAACCGAATCCCCCATACAGGAAAACTTGAATTGTAGGAGTGTTAACTGCTATTAAACAGATCAGACCTAGGTGAAACAGCTTAATATCATCTAGGTTCTGCCAATGCAAAATATTCCACTTAAAACATTTACAATGGAACAGAGCCAGAGGGACGGAATGTGACATCCTGGTTTAAAGCAATATGGACTTTATTATATGTGAACAATTCATACGTAGTGATTTAGTGATTGATAACGCAGAAGGATGACAGTGCTGATTTTCAAACGCTCATTAGGAGATTATTAATGACAAGCCAGTGGCTGTTTCCCTTGTTAATCTCTCCAGGCCCCTCAATGAACACGAAACCTCCAATTGCTTGAGGTCAGAGATGCCACATCACATCTGTAGACAGACCTGAAGTAAGCAACAGAAGCTGCTAATGAGGGGATTACTGACTTAGGTCTTTGTACAACAATGTGCAAAATCTGAAGACAGTTGTGTCATTGCTGATACATCAAGTCACACGCACTGATTTAATTGAAAAAATGAAATGTATTTATTTCTGTGACAAATCGAAAATACGAAAAACTTTTGTGCTGTCAAACCTTTGCACAATCAGTGATGTTATCCCAGTAAGGAGAAGGGAATTCCAGCTTCCCAATTAGAATCTGATCAAATAGATCCTCCTGTAAGTTGTTCTCACTGTTGGAGAAAGCACACAAGACCCCAAAACAGTCAATAAAATGATGACGTTTGATTTGTATACAATGTTTAAAAATTCAGTGACCCGCCTTATTCTTCCATAGTTTATCCTTTTATTTTAAAATAGAAACTAA